TGACTTTCGCCCCTTCCTTGTCCCTTTGCCCGCCTCTCGCCCACCTCCTGCTTCTCTGTCTGCCTCTACCCCTACTCTCTTGACCCCACCCTCCCCTTTCTTGCTCTCACACACGGTCCTTTATGAACAATGAGGCCGGGCCTGAGCACTTTGGGGATTCCCTAACCAGCCTGTTCTACTGCAGCCCAGCTGTGGGAACATAGGCTTCAAGGCAATGTGACCGCTGGTCACCAGCCTTGTTCCCAGAGAGGAAGTGTGCAGGCCACCTACCAGCCTAAGAATCTCAAAGCTTTGTTGTTCAGAGGGCTCAGACCCAGCCTGCTCTGTAAAAGAGTCACCCCTGGGGGGGAGCAGGGACGACACGGGGGACTGCTGTCCCTGAGGAATGCTACGTGGGAACCCGGAGAGCCCAGTATAACTAAGCCTTCCACCTGTGCTGCGGCTCACCCCAAATGAGGGGAGATTTGAGTCCAGACAGGAGCATGGGTTCACAGGAACCCAAGTGGGCAGTCGCTGAACACATGCCAGGTATCCCAGGGCTAACCACCCTGGGCATGACTCTCTGAGGGCCAGCAGCTTCCCTCTGCCCCAGGACACACGCACTCAGCCGGCTCTCCAGAGACCAGCAGACCCACCAGAGGGACAGAGCCCTGCTACCCTCTGGTTTCGTGGCCTTAAGCTGGCACAAGTGCGTTCCCTTCGTGGACCTCAGTTTCTCAGCTGTAAAATAAGTGAGAAATGCCTTCTGAGAACGGTGTCTCCAGGTTCTCAGCCAGTGTGCAAAGCTCTGCCCATGCAGCCTACAACAGGGCTCTCCAGTGTTCTGACTTATGGGCCTGGCTCAGAGCTGCACCCAGGTGCCACCAGGCAACGCTGCCTATGGGACAACATGACCCCGGCCCATGCATGAGCAATCCCACACCTTACCCTCCCCACCAGAGTCCCAGGAGAGCTGAGCAGCCCAGGGCCACCCTCACATGGATCCTCCCAGTCCTGATGAACTTCATCCCAGGTCTTCAGCCCCCTTTGTCCCCAGCCAAGGATGTTTGACTGTCCAGCATTCCAAGCATCAGTTCCCTGGGAGACTCTGAAACCCAGTGTCTGTTCAGTGAGGGGCACTGCCCAGGGCAGCCATCAGGCTGCTGCAGAGAACTGCATATGGCCAGTGTCAGGCAGCACTGACCCAGGCCATGCCTGTCCCCGGACATGAGGGCAGGTATGGGTGGTGCTGGCAACCCAACCATCCCTACTGCAGACAGTTCAGAGTTCAACTTGAACTACACTGATGGTTCAGCTGCCTCCCCAACCCTGCTGCGGGGAGGACTCAGGCCACCGCAGGGTCTGGGCATCATGCCCTGGGTACTACTGTCCTCTGCCTGCCACCTGCCTGTCTTTGAGCTTTATTTTCTTTGTATTTATTGTTCCAATTTTGAATTCTTGCCCTCATGAGAAGCCCTTGAGGTGGGCAAGGATTCGAATTAAAACTCTGATTAAAAAGCATAAAGCACCCTGAAAAATACAGGAGCAGCCTTAGACTGCCAGAGCCTGGTGGTGAGCAGCCTGGTTGACCCTCTCAAGACACGGCCCCCCACCCAATATGTTATACTGCCAAGGACCCCGTGGGGGTGTGAGCCTAGGAGCCTCTGCCCAACATGCTGAGCTGTCTGTTATGCTGGTATGGACAGGGCATCCTAGTCTCTCAGGGCTTTAGTTTCCCTACCTTTCAGAACAGCCAGCCACCTGTAAAACGAAGGGCTGGGGAGATAGCTCAGACTGTAAAATGCTTGACGCACAAACATAAGGACCCGAGATTAGATCTCCGGCACTCACATAAAATGTCAAGTACAGCGATGTTCACCCATAATCCCAGTGCTGGGGAAGTAGAGGCAGGGATCCCTAGAGGTTGTCGGTCAGCCAGTCTAGCTAAACTAGTGAGCTCCCCACTCAGTGAGAGGTGTTGTGTCATAAACTATGGTGAAAAGTGACAGAGGAAGGCATCTGATGTTGACCTCTGGCCTCCACTTGTTTGTGCACATATATGAACATGCACACACACACACGTGCTCACACAGTAGTAGAACAAGACAATTCAGAGGATGTGTACATGGGAGTTCTCCTGACCTCATGGTACATGGTCACTGCTCTGTGGCAAACTGCCTGGCTTGGGGCGGTAACTCTTTAGGGCAAGGCTGCCCAACTGCCTGGCTTGGGCGGTAGCTCTATAGGGCAAGCCTGCCCAACTGCCTGGCTTGGGGTGGTAGCTCTTTAGGGCAAGCCTGCCCAACTGCCTGGCTTGGGGTGGTAGCTCTATAGGGCAAGGCTGCCTAGCTGCCTGGCTTGGGGCAGTAGCTCTATAGGGCAAGGCTACCCAACTGCCTGGCTTGGGGTGGGAGCTCTATAGGGCAAGGCTGCTCAACTGCCTGGCTTGGGGCGGTAGCTCTATAGGGCAAGGCTGCCTAACTTTCCCACCAACATTTTCACAGACCCCAGGTTTCATTGTTCAGTGGGCCTGCACCAAGGTCAGCCCCGGCAGAGGGTCCTCCACTACCTATAACAACTCCATCTTGACCACATGTTGCCTCCCACAGAATGTTCACCCGCGAGTGTTCTTGAGCCCTTCCCTATAGCAGGTGAGATAGATGGAGCTGGGACAGTGGCAGTGTGACCCAGAGTTGCCTATACATCACATGGTGGCCGGAGAGCATGTTTCTCTTTGCTCAGCTGCTGGATGCTCTCCTCTGTTCTTTTTTGTTTTTTGGGTTTTTTTTTGTTTTTTTGTTTGTTTGTTTGTTTGTTTGTTTTTCGAGACAGGGTTTCTCTGTGGTTTTGGAGCCTGTCCTGGAACTAGCTCTTGTAGACCAGGCTGGTCTCGAACTCACAGAGATCCGCCTGCCTCTGCCTCCCGAGTGCTGGGATTAAAGGCGTGCACCACCACCGCCCTGCTTTCCTCTGTTCTTAATGCAGGACATTTATGGCACTGTCCCCAGCTGACTCCCATTCCTCTCTTCTTGTCATCCTCTTGTGCCTTAACTTTTCACTCGGTTGGCCCAACGGCCATTAGAATGAGGTGCGCCACACAGCAGTCACATGTCGGTGCAAGGAAGAATCAAGTGTGTCCACATTGTAGGCAAGTGATGCCTCAGGGAGGACTTCATGGGGGAAGGTGGTCTTTGGGGTACAAGGTTGGCAAGGCAGCTGGGACAGTTCTCCAAAAGGAGACTGCTTAGAGGCAGGGTGTGCAGGGCAAAGTAGATACAGCTGTGTGGCTGTGGGGCGAGGAGGTGGGTGGATGCTGTACACACAGGTGCTGTGCACACGTGCAAGAGGGCTTGTCAACATCTGGGGTGTTTATGCCTCCCTTCTCTCTTCAGCCTCCTCTAGCAGCTCCCAGGCTAGCCCAGGCCCGAGACGGGTGCTAAAAGTCCTACTCGCTTCCTGAAGTCCCTAGCCTCACACCCACACCAGCCCCAGCTTCTGGCCCAATTACTTATTGATCGCCCGTCAGGATGTTTGCTTTCCTGGTGGGTCACTGGAGCGTATGTGACTGTGGAAAATGGTCCTGTGGGGGCAGGGCAGGGAGATGCTCGGACACAGAAGAATCTGGAGAGAGAATGAGGGGGGAGGAAGGGGGAGGGTGACAAAACCCTTGGGGATAACAAAACTGTGCAGATTCCATAACATGTCAGTGACACCATGAGTTCTCGCTGGTTAATCAGTCACTTAGTCGATCAACAGCCAGGAAATACCTGTCAGTTCCTGAAGACCAGCAGAGCATTTGAAAGCGTGTGGAGCCAGAGCTTCTGGTCCAGATTGGTCCCTGCTACTGGTTGAGTGCTAGTCACAGTCTCTCAGAGCCTCAGTTGCCTTAATGGATGACAATGATGATAAATTGTGGCTTGAAGGCAGAGGCTGTGTCAATGGGGTAGGGGAGAGCCCAAAGTGGGCACAGATGGGACTCCCAAGCCTGGCCTCCCCATCTTGCAGTAGGCGCCACAGGGCCATGGGTATAGGGCTGAATTGCAGCAGTTCAGCCCAGCTGCGCCAGAGGCCAGGTGATGAGCACTATAGCATTTTCATCCCACTGGCAGCAGAAGGATGCAGTGGGCTGCTGCTTTGGTACATCCTTGAAGCCCTCTTGGCTCCTCCCTATCCCATCTCCAGGCCAGTTCCTACAGAGTGAGTAGAAGGCAAGGCAGGCAGTACCAGGATCGGGAGAGGTATGCAGGGCTCACTCCATCTGCAGCCTCCCAGCCCATTCAGCATGTCTTAGGATCTAGCTTTAACCAGCCTTGTATGCACAGTACTACAGTGCAGGCGTAAGACTGCCTATCCTGGTCTTAGTGGTCAGACCAGTAACTGGAGGAGCCTGGTGGTGGGGTAGGACTTCTGAAGGGGCAGTCTAGAAAGAATGGCAGGGTTAAGGTCAGGATGCAGGAAACACTCCTGCCCTGGGTTGAGTTAGCTGATCCGATCAAGGATCTACCCTTGTAGAAGAGGTGGTCCAGGGCTTACAGGACCCAGGTGAGATCTTCAGGTGCAGAGGCTTCCTGGCTGGGTCCTGGCTTCTGGATGGCACCCCATCCTGGAACATGTTTGGTACCTTTTACAGGTACCCAGGGTTTGTAGACCACCTGGGACTCAGTGGCAGAGTTGGGTGGAATGTATCATGGTATCTACATGGTGCCCAGCATCCTCAGGAGCTCTTGGCCTGTGGGCTGACTCCATTTGTGCTCTCCCATCCCCTTCAGGGCTATTCCCAGGAACTTGAGTCCTTTGAGCCTCCGTGAGTCTGGGTGGCTCACCAAGACTGACTATCACTGATAAGGCCCAGGGTGAGCCGAGACTCAGGACATGCCGAGAGTAAACTGTCTGCGATCCCTAAAGAAGATGGCATTGCCCCTCATGTGCAACCTTCCCACTTGGGATGGGGATGAGGTGGGGTCCAGCCAAGTACTGCCTGCTCACTGCCGCCTCTGTCCTCTGCTTGCTTCCTGCTGCAGGTGAGCGAGAGGATGCTGGCGGGGGGCATGAGAAGCATGCCCAGCCCCCTCCTGGCCTGCTGGCAGCCCATCCTCCTGCTGGTACTGGGCTCTGTGCTGTCAGGTTCTGCCACGGGCTGCCCGCCCCGCTGCGAGTGCTCAGCACAGGACCGAGCAGTGCTCTGCCACCGAAAGCGCTTTGTGGCAGTGCCCGAGGGCATCCCCACCGAGACTCGTCTGCTGGACCTGGGCAAAAACCGCATCAAGACGCTCAACCAGGACGAGTTTGCCAGCTTCCCACACCTGGAGGAACTGGAACTCAATGAGAACATCGTGAGCGCCGTGGAACCCGGCGCCTTCAACAACCTCTTCAACCTTCGGACGCTGGGGCTGCGTAGCAACCGCCTGAAGCTCATCCCGTTGGGTGTCTTCACCGGCCTCAGCAACCTGACCAAGCTGGACATCAGTGAAAACAAGATTGTCATCCTGCTGGACTACATGTTCCAAGACCTATACAACCTCAAGTCGCTGGAGGTCGGTGACAATGACCTCGTCTACATCTCCCATCGAGCTTTCAGTGGCCTCAACAGCCTGGAGCAGCTGACTCTGGAGAAATGCAATCTGACCTCCATCCCCACCGAGGCGCTTTCCCACCTGCATGGCCTCATCGTCCTGCGGCTACGACATCTCAACATCAACGCCATCAGGGACTACTCCTTCAAAAGGCTGTATCGACTCAAGGTCTTGGAGATCTCCCACTGGCCCTACCTGGACACCATGACCCCCAACTGCCTCTACGGCCTCAACCTGACATCCCTGTCCATCACGCACTGCAACCTGACCGCCGTGCCCTATCTGGCCGTTCGCCATCTGGTCTATCTCCGCTTCCTCAATCTTTCCTACAACCCCATTGGTACTATCGAGGGCTCCATGCTGCATGAGCTGCTGCGGTTGCAGGAGATCCAGCTGGTGGGTGGGCAGCTGGCTGTGGTGGAGCCCTATGCCTTTCGTGGGCTCAACTACCTACGTGTGCTCAATGTCTCTGGCAACCAGCTGACCACCCTGGAGGAGTCTGCCTTCCACTCGGTGGGCAACCTGGAGACGCTCATCCTGGACTCCAACCCCCTGGCCTGTGACTGCCGGCTGCTATGGGTCTTCCGGCGCCGCTGGCGGCTCAACTTCAACAGGCAGCAACCCACCTGCGCCACACCCGAGTTTGTCCAGGGCAAGGAGTTCAAGGACTTTCCAGACGTTCTCCTACCCAACTACTTCACCTGCCGCCGGGCTCACATCCGGGACCGCAAGGCGCAGCAGGTGTTTGTAGATGAGGGCCACACGGTGCAGTTTGTGTGCCGAGCAGATGGCGACCCTCCACCAGCCATCCTTTGGCTCTCACCCCGCAAGCACTTGGTCTCAGCTAAGAGCAATGGACGACTCACAGTCTTCCCTGATGGCACGCTGGAGGTGCGCTACGCCCAGGTACAGGACAACGGCACGTACCTGTGCATCGCAGCGAATGCTGGCGGCAACGACTCCATGCCCGCCCACCTGCATGTGCGCAGCTACTCGCCCGACTGGCCCCATCAACCCAACAAGACGTTCGCCTTCATCTCCAACCAGCCAGGCGAGGGAGAGGCCAACAGCACCCGCGCCACCGTGCCTTTCCCCTTCGACATCAAGACGCTCATCATTGCCACCACCATGGGCTTCATCTCCTTCCTGGGCGTTGTCCTCTTCTGCCTGGTGCTGCTGTTTCTCTGGAGCCGGGGCAAAGGCAACACAAAGCACAACATCGAAATTGAGTATGTGCCCCGGAAATCGGACGCAGGCATCAGCTCGGCCGATGCACCCCGCAAGTTCAACATGAAGATGATATAATGACGGGGTGGGATTGGGGCACAGGGACCCCCCCCCCCCCGGGGGAACACTGGGCAAGGAAGGAGCAGGGCTGCTGCCCACTCACTCCCAGGCCTTCCCACCTCCTTCCTGCCCTCCTCCCCCCTCTCCCTCCCCTCCCACGTGCCCCTGCTGCCTCGCCAGCCCTCACCACCTGCCCTCCTTCTACCAGGACTTCAGAAGGCCAGGCCTGAGGACCCCACCTACACAGGGGCCAGAGTTGACAGACGAATCCAAAGCCGATGAACCGACACGCGGCAGAGTCAATACAATTTAAAAAAAAAAAAAAGTTACAAACTTCCTCTGTAACTTGGGTTTCAATAATTATGGATTTTTATGAAAACTTGAAATAATAAAAAGAAAAAACTATTTCCTATAGCTAGTCGGAATGCAAACTTTTGACGTCCTGATGGCCCCCAGGGCCTTCTTCCAACTCAGTTTCTTGTTTTCTCTTCCTCCTCCTCTTCCTCCTTTCTCTTCTCTTCCCCCGTGGGGAGGGATCACTCAGGAAAACAGGGAAGGAGATTCCAGCCCCACCCTCTGGCCCACTCTGCTAGGTGCCATTTGGAGCCATGGGTGGCAGCTCAGCTACAGGACCCAGCTCCAGCTGGTTTTTCACAGGAAGTAGGGGAGGGGACAGGACTGCCCAGTGTGGGTGGGGCTTGTCTGCTGGCTGCCAGGCTGCACTGCCAAGGGGAGGTGGGGGGGGGCCAGGCTCGGGTGTGGCTGAAACTGGGACGGGCTGGGGTCCTCCTGTGGGAACAGCATGGTCAGTGGAAAGAGTCAGGAGCCAGAGGCAGGCCCGAGTCCTCTCCTCTGGTCCCAGCTCTGCTGCTCACTGTTGTGTGACTCAAGCAGGTCACTGGCCCTCTCTGGGCCTCAGTCTCCACATCTGTACAAATGGGAACATTATCCCTGCCCTGCCTACCTCACAGGGCTGTTGTGAGGAACTGATGAGATGATGTATGTGAACCACTTTGTAACCTGTAAAGCGCTGTGCACATGTGTGTGGGTGACTGCTCTCATTATGGTCATTATTCTCTCCCCGTGGGATGGGATCCCCATGGGGTCAGGGCTGGGGGAGGGGGGCAGCTCCTTGTAGGACACTGGCTGGGCTGGTAGGTTCTTCTACCTCTGCCCAGGAGGCCCCCAGACAGAAGCCAGCTTTGGCCTGGACGGGTATCGATATTGAGAGGGCCAGCTCTAAGTCTTATATCCACTACTATTTGATGACTATCTGCTGCTTCCTGTGCAGAGTCCTCAGGGTAGACGGCCATTCTGCGGCAGTCTGGAGACAGCCTGTCACCCAGCGCTGTCCGTCCTCCCACTAGGCATCCCCTGGGCCTATCCTGGGCTTGACAGGGAGCGCTTGAATTTGGGTCTTGGACCCAACTGCCCATGAGCTGGCGAGAACCAGGAGAGCCAGACAAAACCTGGACCATACTGTTCAAACCAAATCAGCCTGGAGAGGGTTGCCCTAGGCAACAGTGGTTGTCACTTTCCTTAAAAGAATCCATGGGCCCTTCTGCAAAGCTACCTGCAGCTCGGTCCGCAGACCCAGCACTCACTACGTCTCGTGTTTGGGCAGGGAGGACACCTGGCCTCTCTACTCCAAGTTGGTGCTTTCTCCTACGGACAGCTTCTGCTCAGCCCTATGTGGGTCCAGGGTTTCCTGTCTCCCCTCCATCCTCTGGCCTTAGCTATAGCAGCGCAGAGACCAAGGGGCACAGAGAGCAATAGGGAGTTCAGTCCTTAGCATCAAGAAACTGCCAGAATGCAGCTCATCCAAATGGGCTCCCACCTCCAAGCTAAGACCTGGGAGTGAGCAGCGTGTCTGGTGAGAGAGCCTGAAATGAGCCCCCAGTCAGTCTGTCCATCCGTCCGTCTGTCCTTCCTTCATTTCTCAGGCATCACTGCCATGGCTCTGCTCCCAGCTCAGCTGATACCTAAGGCTACAGCCAGCCTTGCCCCAGCCTGCTCTCCCAACCACTGCCCAGGACTTGGTTCTGGACAAGGCTTGAGCCCTCTGGTGACCTCCTTTAGGACTCGGTGGAGATCCCTAGAGGAAGCAGATGGGTAGTTATAAGATTCCGAGGTCCAAGGTCAGGTCTGTGTTCACGTTCTAATTGTCAGGATTATCCTCCAAGCCCCAATTCCTCACCTGCCTCTGCCTCCTGAGTGCTGGGTTAAACGTGTGTGCCATGTCTAGCCTTGATCTCACTGCTTTTGCTGGTGAGGAGGATTGAATCCTTCTTGTGCACATACAGAGGATGAAGACCAGGATGCCAGTTACTTAGCTGAAGCCAGTCAGCCTCCGAGTGACAGTACCGGGGTCTGCTTCCAGACTCTCAGAGCCATAGCCTTCTCAGCCTGGCACAGGGCTTCTCAGCCATGCAGGAACAAGAGAACTCAGTGGGAAACCAAAGAGGCTCGGGTATGCAGGGTCCTTAGCAAGGAAATGGTCTGCATCCAAGAGGCTAGTCATGTTGCAGGATGCTTCAAGACCCTGGCAGGCCTGTCATCTCCAGAGAGGGATCAGCGCCCAGGCTCTCTGCTGCCCAGTCTGGAGGCTGAGCTAGTACACCCTCTGTCCTCTCCAAGAGGCTCATATGGAATTGTCACATGATCTCTGGGGTGCCGCAGGTGCTGCTAAACAGGGCCAAGGCGCTAATTTACTCCTAGCTACCGGGACAGAAACGGTTCCCATGGAAACGCAGGGACTTGGGGAAATTCTTAGGTTGCTATCAGGTTGGGAAGAGTCAGTCTGGGAGAGGAGTGCCCAGGGTCATAGGACGGGGCTGGCTGTCTGGAAGCTAGAAAGCTGGTGGGTCTCAGCACAGCCTCTTTTCACTGTGAAAAGTGTCATCTGTGGAAGAGGGCACTCTTCTACATCACTGCCTATGCCTTGCTACGGCTCAAGGGGGCATCCTGGGATGCCTGACTGGAGAGTCTACTTCTCCGTGCCCAGCAGTCTCTGGAAGGGAACAGGAACAGTGAAGACCCCCACCAAGGATGCACAGGGACTGGCCTGGAACCTGAACCCACAGGCAGACAGAACCAAAGACTTTCTGGCCCCCTACACCCTATCATAATTCTGGGGTCCTGAACTGCACCTGTGACCCTGCAGGGGTGTCTTGCAATCCCAGATGCAGCAGGGGGCTGCACCCAGCTAACCTTCTCACCTGGGACTAAGGGAAGAAGTGGTAGGAAGCTCCTGGGGTATAGAGAACAATATCTGGAATCCTGAGTGTCCACCCATTTTCCAGGGGACAGAACCAAAACCAGTCCCAGGAGCAGGGCATGACAGAGACAAAGATGGTGGGACCAGCCTCACAAAGCAAATAAACTGGGCCAAGCTGATACGGAGGAGGTAAGCCCTAGATGGAGCAGCAAGCACCTTCTATTTTCCCCTGATATGTCAGTTGAGGCTCAGAGAGGGAGAGTAACCCACCAGAGTCACACAGCAGAGGCAGGTGGATCACAGGCTTTAAAGTCAGACATCACCACTGAGACCCCTGTATAAAACCGGGTTGAGAATCCTATTTTTAGGGTACCTGAGAATATTAAAGATCATATATAATTTGGGAAACACTGATGATTGCCGTCATTAGCCTGATGGGCAAGCAGGGGAATGGTGGCTGAACCCAGGAGCTGGAATATCAGGGACTTTATAGGACGTGGTGGGGTCAGTTAGAAGTCAAGCCTGGTCATCCCCTCCACGTGGCTCTTGGAGGCCAAACTATGAGGGGAGTAGGAACAGACACGGCCACCAGTCTCCCTGCTTAGGACAGAACAGCCATAAAGGCCCTAAAGGACAGGGTCACACGTGTAAGTACCTATGACAAGGGGCTACAGACAACTGACGTCAGAGTCCCTGGGGGAACTTCTGTTACTAGCTGGCCAAGAGGCTTTGAGACTTTTCAGGCCTGATGCCGGGGTTCCTGTGCCACAAGAGGAGGATAGAGGCCGGGATGTATCTCAGGTGGTAGAGTGCTTATATAACATGCACAAGGCCGCGGGTTCAATCCCTGGTGAAACCGTGGTGCTATACACCTGTAATCCCAGGAGTATAGGCTGGGGGGGGTCTAGAGTTCAAGGCCAGCTTGGAGTGAGGGGAGAAAAAAAACCCACAAAACCAAGGACAGCACAGACACACAAGGGAGTAAGCACCCTCCTGTGATAACAGCCCATACAAGATGGAAAGTCACTTCCCGACTCCATCTGCTCTTAGGAAACCCCCAGCTCCAGCCTCTTTCCTAGTATGACTTACTGGCAGCTCTTATCTCTCCATTCATAGTCCCTAAGGAAATTAATCCGATTGGTCACCTACCAGCCAATACCTTGGCTGCCTCAGAGTAAGGTGCTTGTCTCTTATCCAATCAGCTGTGGCTAAGGAGGTGCAGAGGCCAAATTTGGGTAAAGAAGTCACAGAAGGGCTAAGGGGTTGGGGTAGAATTTCCTGTTTCTACACTGCTACCCCCAAAACTTAGTGGTTTGAAGCTACAAGCATGTATTGGTATCCCCCTTCTGGAACTAGGGCAGAGTTTGGGGAGGACAGCAGCCTATCTCTGCCCTGAGGGACATCTACCAGGGATACTTGACTGGAGCTAAAAGACCCAAGGTGGCTTCTGACCATGTCAATCACCTTATCAAGGGAAGTTGGAAAGACTGGGGACAACTGGCATCTGTTTCCACACGGTCCACCCGAGACTAGCAGAACATCTTCTTGGAGGCCCGGCTCTACCACAGTGTAGCAAAAGTCACCAAGTATCTTGAAGCCTGGGCCAGAATGTTCCACATGGACATCTGGACTCTTCTTTTGCCTAGGTGTGTCACAGGCTCCTCGGCTTCAAGGGGAGAGGGTCTAGTATGACAGGAGGAGCTGCATACTCATACTAGACGACAAGCAAGTCCTGAAGGGTGCTGCAGACAGCTTGGAAGTTGCCCTCGACAGGAGCATCTCTAGTCCCTTTGTCCTTGGAGGATGCATCTGTGGATACAGGCCTCTAGAGGTTGCTCAGGAGTGGGGGTCTCCAAGAGTGATGACTGCAGGGACCATAGAGAGCTGAGACTCACTGGCGGGTACAATGTCCTTTCTGTGGCAGGCGGCAGTAGAGGCAGGGGCAGTAATCCTGGCAGCCACAGTTTAACAAGGGTGATGTGGGAACTAGGCTACAAGTCCCCTCCTTTAATCCCGCTCCAAAGAGGTTCTAACATATTCCCTTTCAGAGGTGAACCTGGAGCACTATGGGGTAGAAAGGATGCCTAGGCCCAGCTCAAGGTAGGTCTGAAAGTCAGGACTCATTTTGAACCACTCCCAGTTCATGCTCTCATCCATGAAGCGGGCACAGCTACACCACCTCCATCTCTCTTC